AAAGGGAAGCCTTTACTGCGTGACCCCCCCCCCCCCCCCCCACCTTCGAAAGAAAGAGGCCAGTGGGCGGGAGAAAAACCCCCACTACTTTCGCTGGCCCTGGTCCGAGTCGCGACGTAGCTAACTGCCCCGTCAGCGCGACCCTCGGTAAAGGGCCTCGGGTATATGATGTGTATGCCCCAATACGATACCGTCGGATACGCGCAATCAAACTTTCTTTGCAGGAGAAGCGAGGCAGCAGGATGAGAACGCCCTGGAAGACCTTTCGTTTTTGTGACCCCAGGAACCCGAAGAAGATATCTGAATCAACATTATTCCAGGGCAGCAAAACAGGAACGCAAATCATCTATCTATGTCCCAAATCCGCCCCCTTAAAAACAGCAGTGTCTGTTTCCTCGGCCGACAAAAAAACAGTTTCCGGTATTACGGTGCTGTCAGCCGTGTCTTGTGTTTACCGTGCAATCGACCTTCAATCACGGAGAAGTCGCAACGGAAGCGGAACATCCAGCGGAACACAAGCTCATAAGCGATACACAACACACGCTAATCGAGCGCGTGGGGACGCACACACTTGGCGAGAAGTGTTCGATGGATTTTCCAGTTGGTGACAGAACGGCCTTGTTGATTGGTTTTGACGAATCTTGCGGTAGCCTGCACGTTTGCCCTCCCCCACGCCCAGGGAGAAAAGCTACGAAGGATTGCTAGCTGTGGTCCAAGCTTCGATGTAGCTAGCTGCTGCCCTTCTCTGCCGTGTGGCTCTCTGCGTATTACACAAGGTGTCTTGCTCAACATATGTCTTTATTACCTCCGTTTTTTTTTTGGCGGTAACCATAATGGTGGTCGAGTAGATCATGTTGTGCGGGGTGGAGAACCCTCACTCCGCGCAAGGGGGATGATCGCACCACGTTGGGTCAAAATGGTCAAGCACCCTCGAGGCAGTTACACAGTGCTCATAACTGTCTCTGGAAGTGAAAGCACCAGAAAATTTATTAAGTCATACGTAGCTGTCATCCGTACGCAAGGAAGTAAGCACAAGATGCCGAGAGTGCTTAGCAGGATGCAGCGCACCCTTCATGCGACTCGCCGAATATCTCACGGCGCTTCGCGCTTGGTGATGTGAGAGCCTGGTCCGGTGAGAACCCGGCGTGCTCCGTCCCGGCTTTGTAGGGATGCGAGGTCAATGGTCTAACGACTACGGCATGCACGACTATGAGTACCCCCCCCAACGCCCCCCCCCCCCCGATGTTTGCCATCGGGGTTGGGTTTCGTCGCTTGGCAACGACGTTGTACAACAAGCCCCCCCCCTCGGTATTTGCCATCGGGATTAGGTTTTCGTCGCTTGGCAAAGACGTTGCAGAACAAGCCAATTCACTTCGTGAACGCGGCAACCAGGTTGTTACCGTTTATTTTTTTTACCTCTGTTGCTTTTTTTGGCGGTAACCATAATGGTGGTCGAGTGGATCATGTTGTGCGGGGTTGAGAACCCTCACTCTGCGCAAGGGGAATCATCGCACCGTGTTAAAATGGTCAAGCACCCTCGAGGCAGCTACACAACTGTAGTGCTTATAACTGCTCAGGAAGTGAACGCACCGGAAAATGTGT